ATCAAAGTTGCATTCGCCGGGACAGGGCCCGGGACCAAGCCAAGTCCATTATAAACTTTCGCTTTTGGCTGTACACTCGACCCACCAAGTTGGAGCAAAACAATGGGATCAGGTGAATTGCACCCGGCCAAAGGAGGCACCCGGCACACCAGGTGGTGCCTTCAAAATGGGGCCAAGTGTGGGGTTATTATGGCATTGTTGGCCTGACAAACGGCAAACACGCCGAGTTGGTCTCAAATCCGTGCCATGCCGTGATGCGGAGATCTCGTGCCCTTGGCTGTGGGTATAATTAAATTCGGCTTTTAAGTGCAACACCGCTCAACGGTAAAAATAGTAACTAATGCGCCAAACGAGCCACTCGTATCCCATTTTCGTGGTTCACTGGCTCGGCTTAATTTCATTTAAAATCGTTAAAGCCCTAAAAATACCGCTTGGCTGGCTCTCCGAAATGCGAAAGGTTCAACTTGTCATAGGTCAAGCTTTGACCCGAGTCTGGATTTCTACACCATCAAATCCCCCTCTAACACCCATTTTATACCCATTTTACCCCACTAGCAGTGGCAGGTGGGAAATCACATTACACATACGTGGGATTTATTTTCTGCCTTGCACATTTTGAGTTTACAATTAAATTAGAAACTTTGACTGTGCTCCGTAAAGTTTCGGCGGCTTCAACGTCAGAGCTTCGCCAGTTGGGCGGACAGTTTTGGTCCGACTGCCCCGAACCGATCTCCCCTAACTCCCCAATCCCCTGACATCTGACGAAATAAAATACGTGACACAATTCCATATGAGAGCAAACGCTCGAGGAGCAACAACAGTTGCAGCAACTTCTGGTGTGCCTTGTACCATATAATCCCTGGACTTCAGCGGAGTTCAGTGAACTTTTAAGTCTGGCAAGAACTAAGCCAGCTGGGGAGCAGAAATTGATATATCCATCGGCAAACACGGCTTTGGGAGAATAATAATTTTTAGTCAGTTATATAAGCGTGGAGGAAATTTAATTGGGATAGGCGCTCAATGGAAAATAGAGTTTAACTAGTAAATAATTACAAATATAGTAGGTAACTAAATCACTGAATTAATTTCTTCTTGAAAGCTTCCTTTTTAATTTCTTGCTTTATGATTTGCTTCCTAAACCTTCTTCTTTAACTTTTTACTGTTCAATATCAGTGATATTTACTTTTTAAAAGCCTTCTTTTCAATCCCCATTCTTTTTACTTTATGTATGGCTCACACTCCACCAAAGAGTTCAGTGAACCATAAATGCATGGGATCTCGAGTCGTACATATGTATGTACGGTATGTTTAAGGATGGCAGGTGGCAGATGGGGCGGAGGCAGACACTTGGCCCCATTCTTTTTCAATTCGTTTTCGTAGTCTTAGCTGGATTTTATTTATTTATATGGCCAAATGTTGTCTTTCGATTCGGCTGCCTTCATTTCCTAGCCGGCAGCCGCTTCCTTGTTTGCCAGGCCGGGCCCCTATCTACTATATCTTTTCCTCCGGCTCGCTGCACTTGCGCTCATTAAACATTTAGCTACATTGTCTGGCGTATCTTGGAGATACAGAAAAAGAAGGGGGCTCGGTACTCGGATATATACCAGTTTCGAGGGGAATCGGCGGGGGGGAAGCTGCTTAGGCGGGCTGCAGACAAAAGATATGAGACAAAAGCGCAACGTCAAAAAGGAAATTGTACGCCTAATGGTCATTGCCGGGCCAAATGAAGCTGCCATTGGGTGCCGGGGCAGGGTACCGAACCGGACCGGCTCCTTCTGGCTATTGAAATATTTAAAAGGATTTCTTTTTCTGCCCAGCTGCCTCTTTTAGCCAAGTCTCACCAGCTCTGCAGCTCTGCCGCCCGGCAAACGATCTGGGATTAAGCAAATCAAAAAGTCAGTGCCCCAGCATCACTTTGAACCACCGACATTGACAACTGGGCCTGTTCTGTGCACTGAAACTGAAGAAGGTACTATAATCAAGGGAAACACTGAAAATAAGGAAAGAATCTATCTGAAAAGATGCCTTAAAAAATATTTAAAATTCCATTGAAATATAAAATAAAATATATATAAAATATATTAGGTATTAAAAATATTAGAATATTAGAATATTTACCAAATTGTAAGTTAATGATAGTTCAGTAAAATTGGATAGCCTTTTGCAGACCAGTTATATATAAACCTTCTTTTGCGAATAATTTCCAAAAACCTAAGGTTTTTAAGAACTTTGAATATTAATATAAAACCTTCTTTTGCGAATAATTTCCAAAAACCTAAGGTTTTTAAGATCTTTGAATATTAATATAAAATCTCCATCTTTTTTCGAGTGATCATAGGAGCGTTTGTGCCCGGTTTCTGGAACGGCTCGCTGTCCCTGTCATCGACGTCCCAGTAACATTCGCAGTCACAGTTGCAGCTGCACTTGCTGCCTTGTCCGAATGCAATTAAAATGTCAGCGATGCAGAAACGGGACTGCCCGAGGGCGGGAAAAATGGCTGGCTAACATGCGAGGCAAAAAGAGCTCGAAATGGAGTGCGAGCTACGAGTGTGTGTGTGTGTATGTGATCCTTCGCCCGCGGGACTCTGGCCAAACACGCATTTGCCATGCCAAAAAGACTGGACACTCGACTCTCACCGGTTTTGCAACCAGGAACAGGAGCAGGACTCACTCAACTGGATTCGGAAAAACCAAAAGGGGAATGGGCGACCAGCGGCCACGCCCATACAAGCCATTAAGCGCACTTGTGATGTACGTAAATTAATTTACTGTCGGCCATTTATGTTCGCCGGCAACCAATGAAGGAGCAACCACATCCACATCTACATCCACGTCAACATCAACATCAACATCAGCAACAGCAACACAAAGATGAAGAACCAAGCGCGTTGTTAGCCGCTTTATTGACAGTCAGAAATTTGTAGCCGACAAAAGAAGAAAAAGTTGCACAAGCCGCAAAAGTTTGCTAATAAATAACATTTAGCACCAGGAGTTGGCCATAAAAACACGACCCAAAAGTGAGAGAGACACATCCCACATAATTATTGATTCGACAGCCGGGATATATGTAAGAAGAATTTATGATTCAGGTTGATATATGCCCGGGGATTGTGATTCCTCATTGCTAAGCTTTGAGGGGGCTTAAAGGAAAAACGGGAAATTTGCACAGCACAACAATCAGGAATATATGAAAAAACGTAAGCATTTAGTGTGCTAAAGGAAATAATTGTCCAAAAATGAAGCGACATAGCTTGTTGAGCTCTTAGTCTAATAATTAGTCTAATCAATTGCCTTTTAAAACTAAGAAATTAAAATTTTTGGATTTTTTACAAAAAAAATTTGATGGTACATCTTATTCAAAATTTTAAAATTGTTATAAAATTTATATATTTTTAAATCATTTGGAAAATGAGGGGGATCATTTAACGACATTATTAGCTGTTAACAGCAAGCTACAAAATAATTCCCATGAAATAATAATAATCATTAACAAAGAGCATAAGTTAACTAGTTTTCAGCTTAAAAAATTAAGAGTAACATTAATTTAATTGTATGATTAAATGCTAAATTTCAAAAAAAATTGTGCAAGTTATCTTAGGACTCCTGAAACTCCTCCCTTTTCTTATGTTACGCTCCACATGGCAATCGGCACTGCAAGTAGTTATTATCAATGCCGTTATTCAGGGGAGGCACGCGCGTTATGAACGTGAGTGTGTGTCGCAAATGGCCGCCGCAAGTTGCGGATATTATCTGGAGGGTGTCACTTTGTCGGCAACAGATACTTAAGTGCTGTCCGGCAGCCCCGAGCGCCGCATTCCGGCCAAGTCCAGCCGGAGTGGCGAGCGGAAGCACGCGACTACGGCGGAAATTGCTGCACATGCAACGCACGCGGCCAGTAAACCCCAACCCCTACCCAATTTTCTTACCAAAAACCCCATTACCACCCTTTGGCATCGAGATGCCATCAACAGCCGTTCGGTATTGCAATGGCGTTCTCCCACTCGCCCACTTTTTCGAGTTAACAAATTAAAGTAAAAATTACAATGCATGGCATGCCATAAATACGAAAGTTTAAGACCTTGACAGCCATGACCAATTGACCCAATTGTTTGCCCGTTTTTCCCGCACTTTGCATGTGCATGAGCTCGGCGGAGGTGTTTGTGTGGGCGGGCTTATATCTGGGAACCGGGGAGCAAGGGGGTTTATTTTTGGGGGCTTTCGAAATTGCAGCAGCCAACGTGAGAGTGGCCAAATTGAAATTGAAGCGCAGACCCAAGCCGAAATAGGGCCATTCCCAAAGGCCTTAATCGCAGGACCAGCATTGACTTTAAGTTTGTTTTGAAGTAAAGAGAGACTAGAAACTCTCTTATATCGCTGTTCCCTGCTCTTTTAGCCTCTTTTTATCCGGCCAAGAGTTCGGCTTCCTTTGGCTTCGGCTCACGGACACGACCTAGGCGAACGGAAAATGGAAAAGCGGCGCGCTTTCCTCGCCTGTCAGTTTGCCGCAGTCGAGCAATGAACACGCAGCGCGCGGTCTAAATATCCAGCCAATCGCGAGGATAACCACTCAGCCAGGATAACAATATCGTGCGATCCTTCGAGGGTCGATTGAAAAGGTGGCCCTCTGAAAAGGGCAGAAAATAACCCCGTACAAAAAGTGATAGTGAGTGTGTGCTGTTCAAAAGTGGCATTATGAGCACTAGTGGACGTAGCGGGGTCACCACCTAACCATTTTCGACCCGGTCCACGCAGTTTGAACTTGTGGCAAAGCCGCAAATGCAACCGCTAGTTGCGAATTCACAACGTGCCACGGGCAAAACACTGACACCTCCATCCCGGTCCCCTTGTTCCGGCTAACCCCTCCCCGGGCCCCTCGAGAAAAATCCGTGTCCATCGCAAACCGTAACCCGTAAACCGTTTCGCATCCGTATTCCGTGTTCGCGTCGCGGTTCGTTGAGCTGGCAGCCAAAAATGTCGGTTTAGTTGCGCCATCGCCATCGCCATAGCCGTTATCTATATGCACACACTGAGCCTGCAGATTGCATCCTATATCCGCGGAACGTGTCGCCATCGCTGGCCAATGTAAGTGATATCCGTATGGGTTTTGAGTTGCCACAGAAACTCTGTGTGTGCACCACAATAAATTACCTTTGCAACTGACATGTTTCCGAATCGAAATGCAGTTGCGCCTCCGGTTTGGGGCCTATCCGTAATTAAATTTCTGTGAATTTTATCACAATTTACGACGCGTTTGCAACGCCAGCAGTCAGTAGCCGCCACTAGCAGCCAGTGGACCATCAGTCTTTTTCTTTATCCTTTCGTGGTGCCCTCGCCCTGTGTTCAATAACAATGGAGCCATGTCGAAATCGAGCCGCGGGCCATTTGGCGATGCTCCTCTGATACACGTTTTTGTGTCAGGAAAAATTCCGCAAAAACTAAAGCCAAACTCCATTAGGACGTAGCAAAAGCCGCATGATTTATACAGGGGTCATGCATCATACTCCTAAACACGCCAACATATGTACAAGGCCCTGTGTATATTCGGTGGGTCACCTATATAGATAAATTTATTGATCCTTTTGACAGACTCTTTATCCTCGGGGTTAAGCAATTACGACGGAGATTTCAGTCAATTTAAGAGGAGAATATAGATTTATAGTACAAGTACTATTAGACCCATTGCTAGTTCATTTCTTTGTAAACATCACTAAGGTCTCTTAAATAAATAAATAAATATTCGGGAATTTTAGGCCTCAACGTCTAAGGTATCCCAAAAACAGTTGCCTCAATTCTGGATTAGTTTCTATGCCATAAATGTAGGCCATTACTTCGGTACTAACCGACAACCAGTCGTAATAAATCAAAGTTTTCCTTGCTCAAAATTAGTAAAATGCAAATAACATGACAATATTAATGATTTCGCCCAGAGACATGCACACACTGCACATAATAATAAAATATGAAACAAGGCAAATACCATTTTGGGCTGAATGGGGAATGTCTTAACGATGACTGGGCTGCCTTCGCAGGCAGTGACGGGAAATATCGAATACCCGGTGTTTTATCAATTGCCATATCGCGTGCCTCAGTGAGCAAAAATAAAAATACATATAATATTTTTTCTTTTTGGTAAATGAATGTAGCGAAAGCGAAATTGTTGCGAGTGGCAGTTCAGCCATCGAGTGGAACAATGGACTCCGGTTGCCGCGAAGTGTGTGAACCGTTTGGGCTAACAAGAAACCTGATAGCGACCCGCACAAAAGAGCACTTTCACTTGCGAATGGCACGGGCCTTTTGCCATTTGATGGCGGCCATTAGCTATTTGCTGCCGCTAATCGAAGTTTATGTTTTGCATTCATGTAACTCCCCTCGAAACAAATTTTGGATGATAGGATAGGTGGTGGGGTTGGCCAAGGACACGCCTTCGATCGACTCACTATCAGGCAACCGAGGGCCATGTTCTCATGTTGCGACTGTCAGTTTAATACAAATGAACTGTTTATGTTAATAAATGAGCTCACCGGTTTATGCCACATCCCGGTGTGGGGCAAGACTCCCAAAGGGGGGTATTACATCATTAGAGCAACACCTGCTGTGTGTGTGTGTGTGTGTGTGTGTGTGTGTGTGTGTGTGTCGAGGGGGTGGGGGCTGAGTGCCGGAGTGTGTGTGTCAATGTCAGAGCCTCCTCTCCACCCGCATCCCCAGAAACGTTGCAAGCAAATTACAGCTAATTAACATTTTCCTTTTTTTCAATTTGTGCCACAGATATTTGGCCAGGAATCTCTAAAGGCACTCACTCAAGAAAATGAAAAAACACTCATAGAGTAATATTTTTGACCCAATTACGATTGAGAACTAAGTGCACTTATAATCTTACTAAATTAAAACATGATCATTAGTTGCATAAAAATATATAATAGAATATATTAAATTTTATTAGGAATATTTGATTTTAAAATGTGTAAACTATTGTAATGTTATTACCAACTAGAATATAATAACTATAATTGTACAATAATTATATATTTATTTAACTAATTTCTATCATAACAAATTTTTTAATAAACAGACAATTAGATTTCATTAGAATTACTGAAGTTGGGTTTCAAATTAAAAATGTATTTGTTCATTTAGTAAAAAGCTTTGGAGAATGGATAGAGTTTGAGTCTTACGAACAACTAATTTACTTTAATGAATCAATCTAAGTTTTTTTTTTCAGGAATACTTTTTTCATTAATTTTATCATATTTAATTAAAATATTCTCTAAGACAACTGTTTTTCTTGCAGTGCTGTCAGCTGAAAGCCGACCGTGAGAGTTTTTGCCGCACTGTTGGGCGTTTAATAGCCGGAAATCTGTCTATTTCCGCTTGCCGTGGCGTTGATTATACTTAATAGATGACCGGCTGGAGTTCCCCCTTCTTGGCTGGCTGCTAATTTTTCTTTTCTGCTGCTTTTTGCCTGATACTCGAGTATTAGTCGAGCTGTAATTATGCTCTAATTATATCCCATATGTGTGCAGGCGAGTGTGCGAATGCGAGTGTGTGTGTGTCTGTATGCCTGTGGCGCAAAGAAAAATCTCTGCTGTGATGTAATTACAGCCCAACGTGTAAAAAGCTGGAGTGCCGCCTCCTCCTCATCCTCCTCCTGCTGGTTTAATCCCGGTTTCCTTTTGCTTTTTCCATCTGCTCGCCAGGGAATCTGGCGGCAGGTGAGGCCATCGAGATAGTGGTGGCCCAATTGAAGGTCCTTTAGTGGAGCCGAGTGGCCTTGCATGTGTTTAATTGGGCTGTCACTTGTGGGAAATCATTAAAATTATTGTTAACCACACAAACATAGTTGTCTATATTTAAACACAAAAAAATGCAATTATCTTTTTCTCTTCTTTTTTTGCAGGTGAACTGTTAAGCAAACAATTTAAAACTAAAAAAATCCAATTAATAACCAATAAAGGATAATACCCAAAAGCAATTGACGTAAAAGAAAAGAAATTTAATTAAATCCATAACGTTAACGATACATATCAAAGTTAGTCTGATTTTCCTTTAATACTATTAGATTATTAAATATCAATATACATATCAAAATATTTAAAGTGCTAAGATTGATTAAAACCAACAAAGTTTAATGCATATCCTAGAGCAATTCAAATCGATTAAAAATTCCCAGAGCGAGGAAGCAAGTGAAGCGTTTGAAACACAAAAGCCGGTGGTAAAATAAATCTTTAATTAAATCGACTGTGCAGAAGGATGCAATTTAATTGAATGGATATAACGAATCACGCGAGTTTTCCCTCTAAAAAATAAACAAAACACGCACATCGGTGTCGCGCTGAAATCGCTTTGTCATGTAATGTCCTTATGCCTCTCAACGGATCAAGTGCTTAGGCGATAAGAAAAAGCAGCTGCTGTGCTGTAGTGGCGGCTCCTTTCCGGATTTATATGCATAAATGAAAGCACGCATGCTCGGTAAGGCCGTAAGCCAAAGTTGAAGGGGGCCTGAAATTCCATCGCACAGCGGATTAGCTGCAGCATAAAGGCAGGAACACAAAGGTCCTGAATAGAGCGCGGCCAAAATACGGGTTCTTTCCCACCCAGCAGGAAGCTGGGATTTGGCGTCGCCCCCCATGACGTCAACAGTGTGTAAATGGGCAAGCAATTAAGCCGTTAACGATGTGCCCGCTCTCAAAGGCGCCACGCAGGACCTTCAGGACCTCCCCGATCCAGATAGCGATAGAACACCCGATAGAGTCCTTTACGAGCATAAGCAAACCAATGAAAAATGCATTCAGCTGCGCTGTGTCCAACGTTGCTGATTAATTCCAAGTAAGTTGACGAGCTTGTGCTTTTACGCTCCTCTTTTTTACGATTCCACTTTGGCACTTTACGAACCAGACAACGCGTTAATTTCGGGCAATCATCACGGTTTCAAAACGAAAGGAGTTCCGAGTCCCCTAAAAAATCTGACCTCATTCGAAGAATTCTGGAAAAGGATTTAAATCCGTAAATCAGGAGTTTATTTGCTTCTTTCAATTTTCCCCTTTTAATTGCAAGCAAACCGTATAGTTATCAGCTGCAAGAATTTATAAACTGGGGTAGCTGAAAATATAAGAGGATTTTAAACTTGATAGCATGAGAAGAAAACTTGTGAAATTTTACCAAATTTAAGCTCCCAGTGTTGCTCGAATATTTAAAGCAGTGAATACCAAGGGACTGCAGCCCATTTAACTTATTTTGTTTATAAGTCGAAGGGTAATCTGATGGATTTTAATTGGGTTGGATTTTACAGAATTTAAATATTTAAAATAAATTTATTCTGAGAAGAATATGAAAATGCGGTGAAGCTAATTAGCCAAGTAATTACGGCAAAATTATAAAATACTCTTTACCTCTTCTTTCATGAACAACATTGTAACGTTGCAACCAAAATCGTACATAAAAACCAGCAGCATGTCAAACTCATCCTTTATGCTCTTGCAACCGGCAATCAAACAATTTTCTGGAAAATGTTTCTCATTTTATATATGTAATTTCGTTTTTAAAATTAGATTACAGACATTTGCCTGTGGGTAACGTCCAAAATAGCAGCATACTCTTCAGCGCTCATCAAAAATGCGAACGAATTTATAAAGAGAAGATAGCAACGTGCCGGCAGCGAGCTGAGTTTTGGTAGCTGGTGTTGCTATTATTGTTAGGTTTGTACAACCGGTTGGTTGTACTAAAAATACAACACCGAAAATACGAGTAATTTTTGAGCAGGGCAAACCGAATGGATGGTTCGGAGCGGAGCGGAGGCCCCAAGGTCCATGCTTTCATAGACTCTTTTGCGTGAATTGTGTGTGTTGAGTGGACCTGGCATTTTGTTTGCCAAAAATCGGACGGCCAGACAAATACATGCATAACTTGAAAGCGAAATCTTGGCAGCACGGCCTTACAAAGTCATCTAATTCTCTCAATTCAAACACTTTTACCTAAGCCGCACTCACACACCAGGCCAAACATCGGAGCTTGTTTGTTGGCAGCCATTGAAAAGTGGGTAAACTGAATGCGAAAGCTAAGCCCAGTGATGTCTGCACTGTAAAGAATATTATGAGTTATTTGTGGTGAATAGTAAAAGCCGTAAAGAAATTTAGATGAAATACTGTACCTATTTAATTTAGTCTATGATTCCGTCATAGTTGAAATAAAATACAAATACAAATAGTTTAAGCAGTTTAATTTGTTTCCAATAATATGAAAATTAACAATGATTATATAATTTTGTTGTATTTATTTTATTGGATTTATAAACGTTATATAAGTTCGACTGTCTACGCGTTTAACTAGTCTTATACTTGATATGCAATTTCAAAAGTCAAGTAAGTCCGATTATTTTAAATTCACCGCAAAGCAAATATGAAATTCAATCAATTTATGATATTAGCTATTTTGATACACTGTTAAACGTGTATTTATTAGTTTTAGTTTTCTTGCAAATCCTTAAAGCATCCTACAAGAAATGCTCTCTCTGTTGGACTGAAATTATTTCGGTCCGATTATAATGCCCTGAAATATTACTTATAAGTAGGAGATACTTGATTTTTTTACTCTGTGTCTCCGATATGGAGAGGCAAGAAGTAAGAAGCCCGGCCTAAAACAGGCAATTCATAGTCAGCCTGGCTGCCAGCTCGGATTCAATGGCGCTCATTCACCGGCTTAGAAGCTCACACACATTGTACGAAGGAGGGGAAGGGGGTGGGCTATAGTGTGGCATACATATGTGGGCGGGCTGTAGGCGTAGGGGGTGGTGTATAAATCAAGCACACACACACACACACACACTGGTGGGCGGTCTCCTTTTTCCCGCCCACCAATGCTGCAGCCGATGGCGCTTAAAGGCATTTTCGCAAAAGTTTTTGACTTGAGCATTTCAATCGCCTGTTTTATTGCTCACATATTTTATGCCGTTTATGCTCAAAATTCAGCTCAACATGCGCGACTCTTTGGCTTCAGACAAACGGCGAAATGCCGAGAAGGAAAGGAGGTGCCTGAGTATTTGTGTCTTTTTGTATCGGTGTGTGTCCTGCGGCGTTGAGCAAGCAACTCTTGCCAGCGCTGAGGAAAAACCGCAATGCGGCACATTATGCGCGCTGAAATTCCCTCAAGTCCCTTTCATTCCCGAAAGAAAAAGACGGGGAAAACGCAGCCGCGAAAGAAATGCGCAAATGTCTGCCGCCCCCGCCCCTCTTGCTTTATTTTTTTTTTGTGGGCGTGTCCTGCCCAGTTGGACATGGCTATTTGGCTGCATTTTTCCCGCCAACTGATAAACTGGTAGCTTCCTGCGAGTGTTTGCCCTGCGGTTTTCCGCTTTCGTTTGTTTTGCCCTGCTTTGCTTTTGGGCAAGGAAAATACAACTAATTAATGTTTTTGTGCGTGAAAATGTATTTTAATTGTGCACCTGCTGCTGCTGCCGACATTGCGGTTGGGTAAATATTAATGTTGCTTTAAATCCCAATCCCAATCCGAATCCCAATCCCCTTCTGTCGACGACAGTTGGGCCTTTGGCTTTGCCCTCGCCTGAGCTTGGGGATTGGGCCTTTGGTTTTCCACTTTTGATTGAAATGTTTGTCAAGTTTATTTACCCCGGGGCTTCCCAAAAATGATTTGCCAGCCTGGCCGGCAACAGTGTAAACACTTTTGTGTGTGCCGCCATGTTCTCGGCAGAGATGAGAGGATGTATGTGGAATCCGGAACGGTCATGGGAAAGGACTCAAAGGCAGCTCGGCCTTAGCTCGGTTCAATTAAGACAAAGCCAACTCAATGGCCAACTCACATATATTGATTTTCATTCACTAATGAAAAGTGAACATAAAAAGCAAAAGACACTTAACCCTTTTATTGAATCGGCCACGCAATCTGCCGATGACGTCAGATAGTGCCTGACTAAAGGACAGACTCACCGATTGACTGGTGGGCTGACTGAAAAACTGACAAGCTGACAAACTGACAGACTGGCGACTGACTTTCCCGACAGCACGGGCAACAGCTTGGCTCGGTGCCTCCCAAGTGGCGGCCCTCGCCCACTGAAATAACACTTTAAAAACAAGGCAGTGTGTCAGATGGGAAGCGTGTTTGCACTGAGCGAAAAATATTTATAAACATTTAAATTTTAAATATTAAAAATTTAAATACTGTAAAGAACATTTTGAATTTTAATTTTTTAAGATTTAATTGGATAATCAAATCATTAATTTAATTATCGAGGAAAAAATATTTGTGTGCAATTTAATAGGTACATTACAGAAAAGTTCAGTTGTTTAAGATTTAATTGGGTAATCGATTTAATTAAATTAAGAAATTTAGAATTTCGTAGTGGAGAACTATAAATTTAACAACATGAATAAATGTAATTTAGTTAATTGAATGTTTAAATAAAATGAATTTATGCCCAAAGTAATTGCTTGAAACTTGTAAATTACACTTTTTTAATAGCGAGCATACGCCTGACCTACCCATTTTTATTATATGAATGAACAGAACAATATTGTTATAAGAATATTAAATAATAATGTTGATCACTATCGAACACTATTGATTTTTTCACAAGTTTCGCTCAGTGCTCGTGAGTGTCAGTGTTTGTGGACGCGTTCGTGTCTGACTGCCTCTCGAAGCGCGCACAGCACGCCTCTGGTGGGTAAGGGGCTTTTAACCCACATAATAATTACTGTAGTGAAAGGTTACCACGGTCGAATGCGAAAAGTTGGAGTCGATAATTGCAGCGGCTGTTTGGGCGGCGGTAAGCGATTGTTAAATATGAGTATTTGCACAGGGGTGTCTTATAATCGGTACTACTAATTGCTCCCGGCATCCCCTGAATAAAGGCTGGTGGGCTCCCTTAATTGTCGATCCACGCATCGATGGTTCTGAATTCGGTTTTTCACCTTTTTGTGTTTTTTTTCGGAATTTCCACGAGAATTCGGTATTTCACATTCGCGATTGAGTGAGTAAGCAATGCGCGGTCGGCTGCATGTGCCACTTCCGCTTGATAGCGTCATGGTTCCGGCTCCGTATCCGTATCCGCAGCGTGGGTGTAGGTTTGGGTGGTGCTGGAAAGAACCAAGGATCAACGGGGGTTTTGGCATTCCAGGGCAACTGGCTGCACTGGAATAGAACAACGTTTGCGTGACATTCGCGCGTTAGTCGCGAAATGCGTTTGTTTTGTGAGGAAATGCCACATTGAGACCGCTTTTGCCATTCTCATTCCCAACTGTGTTCGCAGGACTTTATTAGTTGTTTGTCTGTGGGACAGGACAGGCACACGCCAACTTTAATGATAGGACAGCTATTAATAGCGCTTCCAGCACAAAAGCAGGCCAACTTTGCATGGCAATTTGTATAATTTAAAATAGTTTTGTTTAATTTTTGAATGGTACTTCAGTTGCATTTGTTTTTAAACTCGCCTTTCGCCGGACTGCTGACCACTTGCCGCGCTGAAATGTAGGCAACACTTTAATCTCGGAATCCCCAAGGAACTTTGCGGCTTTATTTAAAATGTGTGCGAGTGTGTGCGTTGGCTTGAAAGCAGAAAATGCATTTAGTATGCAAACAAAATGGGCACAAAACTGTCGTTATTTATGCAAACCTAACTTCTGCTCTTTAGAAATTATTATTTCGCTCCTTTCACATTCGCCTCTTCTGTTCTTTTTTTGTTTATTCCAAGCCAGCCCGTTGTTTCACTTGCTGTTGCCAGTTGGTTTGCATTTCCGTCTTTATGTTTGCTCACTCGCACACAGACACAGTGGCACCCACACACACACACGCCCAGACCACACGGAAGTGGAGACGCA